GTCACCAAGAATATAAAGACGGATAGGACAATCTGCTTTTAACAAGATCACTGGTAACTGGGACAAAATAGATTTAAAAAATCATAGTACCATGTGATGATTATTGTAACAGAAATATGAACATTGTGAGAAAACAGGTAAAGGAGATAGGGCAAACTGTAAGAAGTAAGAAGTAAGATTTGAATTTGGGCATAGAGGCAGGAGTTTGCTAGAACAGTGGGGGCTGGGCAAGAGGGTGGGGTAGAGGAGGAGGGGGCTGCAGTAGGAGAGGAAGCAGCTTGAGCAAGGCACAACAGCATGGAGTTGGACAGCTCTGTGCTCAAAGGAGATGGACAAAGCACCCTCCAAACATGTTACCACCCCAGGGCCTTTGCACTTGCTGGCCCATTTTCCTAGGACACTCTTCTTTTCAGATAGGTGCCTCATCGGCTCAACCCCTTCCTTCAGATCTTTGCTTCAATATCACCTCCTCAGAGAGGGTCTCCTTGACCTCTCTATCAAAATAGCATCTTCTATCCCTCTCTATCCCCTTACTCTGTGTTTCTTTACAGCATTTATCACTCTGATACTATATTGTATATAGGTATATTTGTTTCTCTGTTCATTTTCTGTCTTTCCCACTTGAAGGTAAGCTGCACAAAGGCAGGACCCTTTTGCTTTGTTTATAGCTATATATCCCTAGTACCCGTAACAGTGTCTGACACATAGTGTATCCCCCATAAATATTTAATGAGTGAAGGAGCAAACACTTTGGTAGCATTGCAGTGGGCAGTCCCTCTGGGCTCTTAGCTGCTTTCTATCAAAGACAAAGTAATATTGAATATACAAAGAAATAGGTAAGCTCGATCAGATTCTTTTGCCTGGCCACTTGATTTTCCGCTGTTTCACACACCTGCCTGTTATTTCCCTTCAAAAGGAAAACACTTTCGTGATCCCAAGTCCTCTCGCTTTATTGTTTATTTTTTTTACCCATATTCATTTCTTTGTTTATCTTGCAAATATTTTTCAAATCCCTGCTACGCAGCAGACAGATACTGGGATACAACAGAGGATACAACTGACCTGACCTTGCCCCTCATGAAGCTTAGGTGAGTAAGGGAGACCAGGAAACCAGTGAGCAATTATAGGAGATGCAGGCACTTGAAAATACTAGCGTTAAAGAGGGGAACGACTTTGGGCACAAAGATACTCATTACAGCATTATGTATAACAGCAAAAAATCAGTCACAATCTATGTCCGACAACAAGGAAATATACATATCTCATGGACTATCATGTAGCTATTAAAATGATGTTATGAAGCATCTATAACAATACGATAAGAGGCATTATGTAAAGAAAGTAAAAGAAAAAAGGATATAAAATTGTAAAATACGATCCCAGTGATATAAAATATATATAAAAATGGCCAGAAGAAAATTTAGGAAAAAGTTAATAAAGACTGGTAGTAGAGGGGCACTTAGGTGGCTCAGGGGGTTAAGTGCTGACTCTTGATTTTGGCTCAGCTCATGATCTCAGGGTCCTGGGATCGAGCCCCGCATCAGGCTCCGCACTCATGGGGGAGTCTGCTTAAGGATTTTTTCTCTCTCCTTCTCCCTCTGCCCCTCCTCCTGCTTGCACATGTGCTCTCTTTCAAAAATAAATAAATAAATCTTAAAAAAAAAAAAACCTGGTGGTAGATCTATTAAAAGAATAATACTAGGTTGAACTGCATGACATTACTATTTTTGTAAGTCAACTTCATACTATCAACCTAATATATTGATGAAAGGGGCCCAAGGCAAACTTGGGTTCGAATCCCAGCTCCAGACTGCGTATCATCCAGGATGCATCATCTCAGTTGTGTAACCTGGGACAAATGTACTTAAATTCTCTCCCAGGGTCTCAGTTGCCTCATCTGTAAAATGGGCATAAAGTTAGTTTATACTTCAGGGTGTATTTAAGATAAAATGGAATAATGCCTGAAATACAGCAATCCCTGAATAAATGATGGTCATAACTGTGGGTGGTGTTTTCTTCCTTCTTTATTGTATTTTCCAAATTTCCTGTAATTATAGTTTAAAAAAATAATCTAGTAAACATAATTATTTAAATTTTAAAAGGGATTGTGATCTATTCTCCAGGGATCTTGAGCCAAGTCCAGCGCTGGGAATGTGGTTGAAAGCTTTCTTCCAGCCCTGTGGTGGCTGGGCTCAGCTCAACAGACAGTGACCCTGAGAGCAGGGCTGGATGTTTGTGCTTGGAGGGACCCTGGGAGCTTTATTTACAGAGGACACTCTGTCCCAGGGCCTGAACTGCCCCCTCACCCCTGCAGCTGCTATACGGACTAAGTCCATGAAGAAGGCTGCCTCGGCCCACCCTGCCCCTCACAGCCTGGCCCCTAATCCCAGTCATGACAGCCTTTGGCCCAGGGCTCTTCTTCCCTCAGGAGTGGCTTCTGGTTACCAAACACAGACCTGAGCTGAACGCCGATCATGTCCAATACCACGACTGGGCTGTAGAGTTTCTGTTTGTGGTGATGAAAAAGTTGTGGAAACAGATAGTGGTGATGGTTGCATGACATCGTGAATGTAATTAATGCCACTGAATTGTATACTTAAAAATGATTAAAAGAAGGAGGCCTGGGTGGCTCTGAGGGTTGGGTGTCTGCCTTCAGCTGGGATCATGGCCTCTAGGTCCTGGAATGGAGCCGCACCTCGGGCTCCCTGCTCAGCAGGAACTCTGCTTCTCCCTCTCTCTCTGCTTGTGCTCGCTCTCTCTCTCAAATGAATGAATAAATAAATAAATAAATAAATAAATAAAATGGTTAAAAGGGCCAATTTTACGTTATAGAGCTTTTACCACAGTTTTTAAGAAGTGAGAAAAAAATCCAGGAATGGAGGGGACGAAAGGGAGGGCAAGCTTGTCCTGTGGCATTTGGTGATACAACCTGGGGCTGGTGGACACCAGGAGACCTGGATTTAGACCCCTGTTCCGCGCATTTTGGCTCCTTGACCTTGGGTAATTTCACTCCTCTGAGGATAGCATGCTGCCCTCAGAGGGCAGTTAGGGAACTCAGATGTGATCAAATGATGTGAAACTCTCTGTAAAATAGTCAATAATTGTTAATTAGCATTATCACCCTGGCCTCCCCCCCAGAGAAAGAAAGAAACCCGTTACAAACAAAATATAACACTACCTTTTATTCTTAAATATTTTTGTATTTATTTAGTCTCTGAGGATGTCTGAAATTCCACCTTAAGGCTTGGAATTCTGTAAATGGAAACCTCCAGAAATAAGGACAGGAAGAGGGCAAACTAAAGGAATCTCTCAACCTCTGGCTTTTCTGGGACCTCTGACGTGCCAGAGGAGGGCAGGACAAAGGTGCATGAGCCAGGAAGGCTGGGGGTCTTGGCAGTGGGCAGCAGAGAAATGACATCCTTGCCCTGTCCCCTCTTTGCCCCCCCCTTACTTCCCCCGCTTCGCCTTTCCCATGTGTCTCCTGGGAGATTTATTTCTGTCTCTTTTTTTCATCTAAAGCAGAGGAAATGAATCATCTTTCAGCCTGTTTGGTCACCAGCCCCATGCCCTCTGACCTCCTCTGGGCTGTCTCTGGTTCCTCTGGAGCTGCCACTGGGCTAGGTCTCACCCGCTTCAGTCCAGACTCTCCTGGCTGGTTATTCTTGGTAACTAACGTCCCCCTCCTCCCAGGCCCGGAAGCTTGACCTCCTCCACCCTGTGGAAGATGGGAAATGATACACAGCATTCCAAATGATGATCCCATGAGCTGACCAGAGGGGCAGGGAAAGCAAGGGAGCCACTGTGTTCTGAGGATTTTGTGTGCCACGCACGTACCGGCACATCTCAATGACCCTATTCAGTGGATCTTCCCACATCGCATTTTTACAGGTGAGCAGTACAGGGCTCGGAGAAATGAAGGAATTTGCCCAAGGCCAAGTAGCTAGTAAGTGGTGGAGCCAAGACTCAAACCCTGTATTCTTGGATTCATTCCATTATACCATGCTGCCCCATGTATTCACATGTATGCATGCATGTATGTGGAACTGGGGATACAGGCAGGTGGGCTAGAACTTCAGCTGCAATTATCAGGATGGAAATCTAACATCCTTGTGCATAAAGCTATATGCATACGACAGACAGCTGTTTACCTACAGCGGGGAACGCAAGTGTGTGCAGTGTGTGCCTTACCAGGCACCCAGGGACCACAGAGAAAGGGATTGAGGAGGGACAGGGATGGTGAAGGGAGACCCCAGCTTCAGGACCACCTAAGCCCTGCCCACACCTGACAGTGATGGAACTTAACAGATAAAAGTGCCTAGTGGAGTCCACGGTGGTGAAACCACACTTCCTGGTGAACACAGTCATGCAACTATTTATTTGGCTTCAAAAAACGTGCAGGTGCTGTTTCTAGGAGTTATGTGGGATACGGAAATAAAGCTACTGACATCGAACTATCTAGCGTGGCCCTGTGCGTGCTGGAGGTGGGAGAGGGATTAACATAAATATATAAATAACTGTGATGCAACGTAGATAGAAAGTGCTCAGGACCAAAGAAAGGGACGGATCCTGTAACAGGGTTCTAGCAGGACCAGAAGCTGGAGAGATTGATCGAGGCTGGGTATTAAGGAGGGTTTCCTGGGGAGGTAGCATCGAAATGTCTCTAAGTAGATGTAAGCGCTACATCAGTAGGACGCTTTCACCGAGGTTAGATCCCGTCTAATTTTCCAAGGAGCCCAGAGACGCAGACCTGTCCTTATTCGCCTTTTGCAGAAGTGGAAACTGAGGCCAGAGAAGCTGACTGGGTTGTCCACAGTCCCGCAACTAGCAAGCGGCCGCCCGGGGTCCGCTCTGGGGCCAGCGCCAGGGACTCCCGGTTAGCTCGAGTCTGTCCTCTCGGGGCCGGCCTCAGCCGGGGGCCGAGCGGCGGGAGCTGGGGCGGCCGGCACGCGCCGGGGGCGGGGCGGAAGGGCCGAGGGGCGGGGCTGGCGCGCGGGAGGCGGCGGAGCTGCGTTGCTCTCCACCTGCCAGCTGGAGCTCAGCGCCGCGGGGGGCCGCCGGGCTAGGGGGCGCCTGGGCTAAGCCCCAGTGAGCCCGCCGGGCGGGCCATGGGCGACCGCGAGCGCAACAAGAAGCGGCTGCTGGAGCTGCTGCAGGCGGCGGGCACCGGCAACGCGCACTGCGCCGACTGCGGGGCGGCGGGTAAGGGTGCGGCGGCCGGGAGCAGGAACGCTGCCCGCCGACCTCCTCTCCTCCTTCCAGACCAGGACCGGTCCCGGGCCCCCGCGGGACCCGGGCGTGACCCTTCTGACACCTTCGCACCCAGGCCCCCGCCCACCCAGACAGCGAACGTCCGTCTAGCGCCCTCGGCCGCGCTCTCCACAAGCGGCTGCCGCGCCCACCCGAACCCAGGCCCCCTGACCTCCCCACTCTGGACCCGGACCCTTCCATATCCTTGGACCCCGACGCTAGACCCCGGACCCGGGTGTCTTGACCATCTTGTTCGCCCGCCCCGCCAGACACCCCACCTACCCGGACCTCGGTCCCGGACATCTTCACTCCGGACCCAGCCACCTCCCACGCCCATGGACCCAAACATCTCCCACACCGAGGGGTCCCAGACCCCCGGGCCCCTGAAGGTCCGGTGCTCCCTTCCCAGCTCCCGGAGGCCCCTGGGGTCCTCCCAAGTTCCTGCTCCGTAGCGCGCCGACTTCCCCACCTGCAACTCCTCAGCCGGGCGCCGCGGTGCCGGCCCCTTCCTCCGCGCTCTCCTCTCAGTTCCCCGGAGTCTTGTCACTTCCACTTTGCGCTCGCCTCAGCCCCTCGCCCCATCCCTAGACTCCTTCCAAGATCATCCTGGTAGCCTCCGTGCCTTGGCCGTGGGCTGACTAGAAGGTTGCATGCTGGTATCTTAGCTCACCCAAGGTGGGGGGACAGAGAGAAAAGGGCTTCCTAACACGGCAGAGCTGAGCCCCAGGAATCCCAACGGCCGAGCCCTGCCTCTCCAGCACCCCCAGCCCAGCCCTGGTCTCGGTGTCTAGCTCTCCATCCAACTCCGCTTCTGCCCTCTCGCCCCTAGATCCTGACTGGGCCTCCTACAAGCTGGGCATTTTCATCTGTCTGAACTGCTCCGGTGTGCACCGCAACTTCCCAGACATCAGCAAAATTAAATCCGTGAGACTTGACTTCTGGGACGACAGTACTGTGGAGGTAGTGAGGGGGGGCACTGGAGAGCCTCGAAACAGCAGAGCCAGGGTGGAGGCGGTGGGCCGGTGGCCCCATTCTTCTGTAGGGGAGGAAACCGAGTTCCAGAGCCGAGCAGTAAAGAGCAAGAGAAAGCACAGCCTATTAGAGTCCCTGCTTAGACAGAGACCCTGAGTGCAAGGCCCTTGCTTGTTGCAAGGCCCTGAGAACTTATTTCCCTCAGTTTCCACTTCTGTATAAGGATCCCACTACCCCTTGGAGTGGCTGCTGTAAGGATTAAATGTAGGCTCAGTGCCAGTACAAAGTAAGTAGTCAAGTAACACTGCTGTTATCGTTAGCTGAAGTCCTGGACTGGAACCGAAATATACTAATTCATGGTTTGGGTCCCCCTTTCAGCACCCACCCCACCCCACCCCTCCTACCCCACCCCCCACCTCCCAGCCAGGAAGGGCACCGTTTTGCTCTCCTGATCTATAGAGATGGAGGACACCTTCAGCCTGGATGATAATACCATTTTGGCGAGAAAACCTTCGGAGAGCAAGCTGTTCTAAATTGTGCTGGTTGGCTGAGGATTTCAAGGACTACTGGAGAAGCAGGCCCGTGTTCACTGAGTGCCCACTCTATGTCAGACACTGTGCTAGATGCTTTATTCGTTGGACACGTAGTTACTGTAAGCCTACTATGTGCTAGGTATTAGGAAAGAGCAGTGAATAGGATAGAGTCTCTGCCCATGTGGAGCATATATTCTGGTGTAGGAGAAAGACAGGAAGCTAGTAAACCAGCACATAGACCTGAAGGTTGTTTCTTTGTCCCTTATAATCCCCCCATTATACTTTCTTCATTTTTGCAGTTGAAATCCCTGAAGCTTGGGGGGGTTCAGTACTGCCCAAGGGTCACTCAGTGAATCAGTAGTACAGCTGGGATGTGAAACATGCTCTGTTGGGATCCAAAGCCCATGCAAATCCTGAGTCATAGTCTAGAGTCCTGGGGGTGGGGGAGAATGGGGTTCACTCTGCTCAGGGGATGTAAATTAAAAACCTGATATTTCTTCCCACATGTACCCTCACCCCAGATAGGCCACCTCTGTTCCTGAGTGCTAACTGTTGGCCAGGGCCACTCTTGGCGTATCTGCCTCTGGGTCTGTCAGGTGTTCATAGGGCCCCAGTGATCATCCTGACCTACCTACTCAAGGGGGCCAGTTCCAACTTCTTCCATCCTCCAGCTATGTCTGCTTCCTGCACGTAGCTGCTGGTGGTCCTGGCCATCTGGGGAGGGGGTGGGAGAAAGAACATGAGTTTTGGAGTTAGACAGGTCTGGGTTCAAGTCCAGCTCCTCACTCTCTAGCTGTGTCACCTTGGGTAAGTCACCTAACCTCTCTGAGCCTGTTTTTTCACCTCTAAAATGGGGATGGTAATATTAAAATTTTCGAAGGGATGGAATGAGCTAATGGGTAAGGACTGTAAAGTGCTCTGCCTACATGAGTTATGGTTGCTGTAGCACCTCATTGTCCCAGGCTGGAGCTTCCCAGCAGCATGGATAACCAAGCCCAATGGGACATGTCAAACTCCAGTAGAAGTGTCTCCTGACTCAGCCTAGGAGCCACTGGGAAGAGTGGCCTTCTGCGTAGACACATGGTTTCATTTCACATTTTTTCAAGTTCTAATAATACCCCAAGTTGCTGTTGTCTTGCAGTTTATGACCCACAATGGAAACCTCCGTGTGAAGGCCAAGTACGAAGCCAGAGTCCCTGCTTTCTACTATGTCCCCCAGGCCAACGACTGCCTGTGAGTGGGTGATTTCTTGGTCTCACCTCCCCCACCCCTACTCCATCTCTGGTGCCTTTGTCTCTGGTGGTCTTTTTATTTTCTTAAAGATTTTATTTATTTATTTGAGAGAGAGAGAGAGAGAATGAGAGATAGAAAGCACGAGAGGGAAGAGGGTCAGAGGGAGAAGCAGACTCCCTGCTGAGCAGGAAGCCCGATATGGGACTCGATCCCGGGACTCCAGGATCATGACCTGAGCCGAAGGCAGTCGCTTAACCAACTGAGCCACCCAGGCGCCCGTCTCTGGTGGTCTTTTACATGCACCTGGTGGACCCGGAAAGACGTTTGGTACTGTCATGGAGAACACTTAGACCTGGCCTAGTTCCCCCCTCTACCTTTATTGCTTGGATTATCACTTCCCCTCTCTGGGACTCAGTTTCCACTGCTGTGACACAGGGCATTTTCTTTATGATCCACCCCTTTGCCTCTGATGTTCTCATAGCCTACTTGTGACTAACTCGACAGAGAAGAGGAACCCTGGTATTTTAGTAGAAAAGATGTGTTTCAGCTACTTTCTAGGGAGTGTTGTGCCCAGGGCTGTCCCACTTGAACTCAGCATAGCTCCAAAGCAGCTGTCTGGCCCCAGATCCCTGAGTAATCACCATAAAAATAATAGCAGCTACTAATATTTATGGAACTTTACCTATGTACCAGGCCCTGTGCTATATGCTTGTGTGCATTAATGTGTTTAATTCTCCCAACAACTCTGAGATAACACTGCCACGGTCCCCACGATATAGATGACATACCTGAGGCTCAAAGAGACAGAACTGGGACTGACTAGCCCCTCTGACACCAGGGCCCTGGGGAAATCTAATAAAAGTCGGGGGAAGCTGTGAAGCAACAGGAGGTTTCAGGTCCCCTAGATGTGAGGGGTCAGTGTGGCCCTGGTACCTAGTGACCCCAGCCTCTGCAGGACTGACTGCCTGAGGCTTAGCCTTCCTTCCAGGGACTCAGCCTCACTGCCAGGGCTGCTAGACAGTGCCCACCCCCCACCCCCAGCCACCACTCTGATACAAATGGGAAGAAGGTACACCCTCTGGGCAGGTTATGATCCCATGGCGGGGGGGGACGGCTATGGCTTTCAGGAAGCAGGCGGCTTTTCAGCCCCCATTGTCCTCTAGCCTCAGCAGAAAGCTTTTGGACAGCGCACAAACTATACAACTGTACCTAGTACCCTGCCATTTCCCAGTAGTTAAACAACTCAGGGGCTGCTAATGCAGCATGGAGTGGCGGGGTGGGGGGCACAGCTTTCTACTCAGAGGACCCCAGTATGGTTTCCTGACTCTACCACTCTCTGGCTGTGAGAAGGTGGACAAGTTACCAAACTTGTCTGAACCGTGGCTTCCTCATCTCTGAAATGTAGTTAATGCTGCCTACATCATGGCATGGTGGTAGAGATTAAATGAGATAATTTTATGTAAAATGTTTTAGTCCACGTCTCAGTGTCACCTTCAGAATGCTGCCTTGTCCCTGGCCCGGCTGAGGGATGTGCCAGCCTTAACTCGAGAGGGTCTGGCTCCCCTTGCCTCACTGTTGCTGCTCCTCGGCCCTTTGCTGCAAGGGGAAAGGAACGGGCATTTGGTGAACACCTACTATGTGGTAGGCTTTCTGCCAGCATTCCAGTCACTACTTGCACGACTCCAACCACAGCCCCGCACCTTCCCCCCTTGTAGTGGAACACTAATGGCCTCCTCCCCGTAATTCTAAAAGACCTTTAAATTCCCCACCTCTAGGACCAGGACTGGGGCCTCAGTCTCCACTCCCTCTCCCAGCTCTGATCCTGTGGCTCGGGGTTCCACGGTGGGCTTGGTGACTCTCCTCAGTGTGCCTGGGGTGAGGGCTGTGCATTAGTTAGGACTCCTGATGACAGAAATGCAGTTTAACCCAGCTTAGGCCCGAGCGGATTTTGTGGGTTCTGGGGATCAGACCGTAGGAGGGACAGAGGTGGAGCTACTCTCAGGAAGGGCAAGCCAGGGGCACCTACACCTACTGGGCCTCCTACACTCTCTGTCTGGTTCTCATTCCTGCCCCTTCCTGTGGGCCAGGCTTCTTTCATGTAGCTGGGAGCAAGGCCACTTGGGGTCCCTGGCTCCAGATCCTGGGCTCCAGCTCCCAGCTTGGCGGTGAGAGGGCTTCCAATCCATCCCCCCCTCAGTTTTGCTCCTTTTGCTCTGATAGCTCAGGGCAGAGCTCTGCTTAGCCAGCTCAGGCCAGGTGCCCACTTCTGGGTCATTCCTTGTGGCTTTGGGGTAAGGTCACATAAACCTTGGAACATTTACCTGGAAAAGGCAAGAGGGAACCAAACAATTGAAATAAGTTTTCTGCACGGGTCATGTGACAATATCTGATAAATTGGGGAGGATGACCAGGTCCCGGGTGGTTGGACCCCAAGATCACTGCTCTGTCCAGTGTAGCAGGCCCAGATTTTATGGGCAAGCCAAAGGAAGAGGCTCATGGACTCTCCTGGCTTCAGCTCATGAGCATGCAGTGGGACGTGTAGTGTAGATGATCCAGGGGACCTGGTTGACCTAGAGGGCTGGGCTGGGGTTGGAATAGCCCAGTGGTTTTCATATCCCCCTTGGGGGGGGATATTTTTCCCCAGGAGACACTGGCAATATCTGAAGACATTTTGGGGTGTCATAACTAGGGAGGGGGTACTACTGGCGTCTAGAGGATAGAGGCCAGAGATGCTGCTAAGCATCTTACAGAACACAGGATTCTTCCCCTTCCCCCAACAGAGAATTAGCTCCAAATGTAATGGTTCCGAGGCTGAGCAGCGCTGGGTGGTATGAGTAGGTAGTTGCTGTGACATCCCCACCCCGTGGGAAAGGGACGCCTCAGACACAGTTGACCAAAAGTTCTCTCTTTTTAGGGTGTTAAAGGAACAGTGGATTCGAGCTAAGTATGAAAGACAGGAATTTATGGCCGATGGGAAATCCATCTCACCCCCAGGTAAGGTTATTTCCATCATCTTTTGAGTTCTATGTTCTAATGAATTCTAGACAATAAAGTGCCTGAGTATTAGGAAGAGGGCCCAGGCAGGAGATATCTGCTGGCCTCACTGTGGCCACAGAGGCCAAGGTGTGGGTTCCTCTGCCTCTGAAACAGCAATGTGTCAGCTGGTGGAGTTTTATGGTCTGAGTGGTCAAGAAGTATTTTTATCTCTGGTCCCCACAGGGCCACACGTGTGTACAGAGTCTTAGTATAAAGTTGCAGGAAGACTCACCCGCCAGGCTGAACAGTTAGAAAAAGGCACCCCTGCTCTTGGTGAGTGTGGCCCCCCATGTGACAAACGGCTTGGTAAGGAACATGGGAGGGATTTCTGCCTCCCTTCCTACCTTTGTGTGGGGCACAACCCCATAGCTGGCCCTCGACCCGTGGTAGTGTCTGCCCAGCTGCTCTGAGTCCAAGCTCACACTGACCTGGAGGGCAAAGCATCCAGAACCACTGTGAGGACCGGTGACGGCCAGAGCTTGGTGCCCCTAGCTATGGAGAGCACACGGTGCTCTTCAACTAGCAGATACCTAGAGGTCACTCATCATTTCCGCCCTCTGAGGGGTTTCATTAGGTCGATGTCGACGTGACATTGGGCAGCACTGTAGCGGCGTCTTTCAGAATCATGCAGTTTCTCAGGACTTAGCCTCCTAAGGGTTTAGTTGGTCTTCTTATGAAATAGCCAAAGAAGGAAGTTAGGGAGAGCCCAACCGAAATCATGAGACTTTGCAAATTTGGCCCCAGACAGAACCCTACATGCTGCAGCTGACATAGCTAAGTTAGATTTAAGATATTTTAGCACTGGGTGGAGCGTTCACTCTACCCTCGAGACCCTATGAGGTTTGCAAACTGCTTGTTTATCTTAAGGATGTGGGTGTTCCCTCTTTCTCTTCCTTGGCGGCTAAGGTACCCGAGAAGGGTTCCTGTGGAAGCGGGGAAGGGACAATGCCCAGTTCCTGAGAAGAAAGTTTGTCCTCCTGTCAAAAGAAGGCCTCCTGAAGTACTACACTAAAGAGGAGGTAAGAGACCAGACCAGCAAGGGGTCCCTCCCTGAGCGCTGGCCTGCACCCCACTGAGGTCACATTGGAATCAATGGTGCCGTGTCTTCTGGATAATCTCAGCCACTGAGTGTTTAGCACCGCATGGTTACTTTTCCACAGTTAGGCAATCAATCCAGTCCACAGAAAACACACCTTCTCTTCACCTAGAATCGGCTTAGACTGGTCCACGAATAAGCCCTGGATGACCACTTGAGTTTACTGCATTTATTCATGCACTCAAGAAATTATTTATTTATTTGAGCGAGAGCGAGAGAGAGAGAGAGAGAGAGAAGAAGAAGCAGAGGGAGGGGCAGCAGGAGAAGGAGAAGCAGACTCTCTGCTGAGCAGGGAGTCCAGCGTGGGGTTCGATCCCGGGACTCCAGGATTATGACCTGAGCCGAAGGCAGACGCTTAACTGACTGAGGCACCCAGGTGCCCCACAAGAAATTATTTATTGAGCACCTACTATATACTAGACATTCCTATAGACACTGGGGCTACAGCAGTAAATGAAACTAAGCTCCTGTTCTCATGGGGCTTTCATTCTAGTGGAAAGAGACAGGTGGTAACCAAAACGTACATCAATATGTGATAGATGAGGTATAGTAGGTTCTGTGAAGAGAAATAAAAGCGGGTGAAGAGTTAGAGGATGGTGGGGCTGATATCACACAGGGGTCAGGGAAGGCCCCTCTGATGACATTGGAGCAGGGAAATGAATAAAAGTGAGCAAGTCAGGGATGCCTGGATTGCTCAGTCGATTAAGCATCTGGCGCTTAGTTTTGGCTCAGGTCATGATCTTGGGGTCGTGGGATCGAGCCCTGCGTCAGGGTCTGGACTCAGTGTGGAGTCTGCTTGGGTTTCTCTCTCTCTCCCTTCTCCATCTGCCCCTCCCCTCCTAAAATAAATAAAATCTTTAAAAAAAAAGTGAGCAAATCATGTGCGTATGTGGGGGCAGAGTAGAAGAAGTAGAGGGAACGTGAACATGGTCCTGCGTGTCAGTTAGAAAATGACCCCTCCGAGACGGTGTAGCCCTGGGGCCCAGGTCTAGACAAGCAGAAGCCTAGATTGCAGTTCTCACTTACACCCTCATCCAGGGACTTTTTGTTTCGTGCACAAACTACTCAGCCATAAGCCACAGCCCTGGCCTGAGCTGGGAGGGTGGTTTGGTGGATCAAGGAAGCCAAAGTGATCTGTGCAGAAGGAGCAAAGAGAAGGATGGAAGGAGATGAACTCACATAGGTAAGGACCTTGTAGGGCCTAGTAAGACTCAAGATTTTTTTTTTTTTTGAAACAGTTTTATCAAGATATAAATTCATAGGGATCCCTGGATGGCTCAGTCAGTTAAGTGTGGGACTCTTGATCTCAGCTCAGGTCTTGATCTCAGGGTGGTGGGATCGAGCCCCGCATCCAGCCCACATTGCATCGGGCTCTGCGCACAGCAGGGAGTCTGCTCCAGATTCTCTCTCTCCCTCTCCCTCTGCTCCTCCCCCACCACTTGTGCTTTCTCTCTCTCTTTCTCTAAAATAAATAAATCTTAAAAAAAGATGTAAATTCACATATTATACAACTCATCTATTTAAAGCAGACAATTAATGGTTTTTAGTATACTCACAGAGTTGCATAACTGTCACCACAACCAATTTAAGAACATTTTTATAAGCCCCAAAAGAAATCCCATACCCATTAGCCCTTATCCTCTACCCACCATACCCTCCAACCCCAGGAGACCACTGATCTACTGTCTGCCTCTGTAGGTTTGCCTATTATGGACACCTCAAATACACGGACCATCTGGTCCTTTGTAACAGACCTCTTTCATTTTGCATATGTGTTTAAGATTCGTTCATATAGCACGTATTAGTACTTCTTTTTATTGCCAAGTACTGGTCCACTGTGTGGATAGTTCATCTGTTCACTTAGTTGATGGACATTTGAGTTATTTCCACTTTTGGGCAAGTATGAATAATGCTGCTATGAACATTGGTGTACCAGTTTTCATGTGGACATGTTTCCACTCTTCTTGGGGCTATACCTAGGAGTGGAATTGCTGGGTCATATGGTAACTCTGTATTTACGGAGGAACTGTAACACTGTTTTAGAGGAACTGCCACACTGTTTTTCAAAGTCCCTGCACCATCTAACGTTCCCACCAGCAATGTGTGAAGGTTCTAATTGCTCCACATCCTCACCAACACTTGCTGGTTTAACGATGGGACTGGCTGGGATCACCTGGGCGGGGAGTGTGGGTAGATGAGAAAAGATGTTTTGTTTTAGGGTTTTTTTGTTTTTGTTTTTGTTTTTGGTATCCAAAATGTGTTTATTGGGATAGTTTCCCACTTATCTTTTTTTTTAAGATTGATTGATTGACTGACTGATTTGAGAGAGAGAGAGTGCACAGAGGAAGAGGGAGAAGCAGACTCCCCACTGAGCAGGGAGCCCGATGTGGGGCTCGATCCCAGGACCCTGGGATCATGACCTGAGCTGAAGGCAGATGCTTAATGACCTGAGCCCCCCGGGCACCCCTGTTTCCTACTCCTCTTGATTCAGGGTGCTTTTAGTGCTGCTCCTGTCTGAAGGAGCACCCTCTGTAATTCTTGCTTTTCTTCCTGTGGCCTGGCAGAGGACAGTGGAGCAGCTAGCACACAAAATAACCATTTGTGCATGGCTAAGGACCGTGGGGATTTTGTAGCATGCTGGGCACTTCACGTCCGTGAAGTAGGTGTTGGGGCTCCGCACCAGGTGCTGCTCCTGTGCTTCCTCTTCTCTTCTGGGGATGGGTGCAGGAGATCCATGTTATCATGGGGAGGTTGTCACCTCCGGAAAGGAGTGAAAGCAGAAATCCTAGGACCGAGGGTTTTTTGTTACTTGTTGCTCAATGACAAACCACCATACAACTTAGTGGCTTAAAACATCAATTTATTATTTCTCTCAATCCTGGGGGTCAGGAATTTGGGCAGGCCTTGGCTGCTGCAATGTACTCCCTGTGGCATCAGCCAGGTCACTGGCCCTGCTGCACTGAGATGGTGGTTGGGCTGGCCGAGAGTGTCCAGGAAGCCTTCACTCATAAGTCTGCTGCCTTGGGTTCTCCAGGGAGGCTCTGGCTCTCCACGTGCTTGTTCCGTATTCAGGAGTCTGGCTTGAGCTTCTTTGTAGCATGGCAGCTGGCCTCCCCTAAGCAAAGGGAGCTGCTGCTCGGCCTCTTCAACATGAGGTCAGGAACTACCTTCTGTTGATCAAAGCAACTCAAGCAGCCATATTCAAGGGAAGCAGATATAGACTCCCCCTCTTTATGGGTATCATGGCGTGTGCATACTGGGAGGGAGGGAATTGGTAAGGACCATCTTTGGAGGTTATTTACCACGTTGAGCCCTGAGACATTCCAGTATTTCGAGGGCAGAAAAAAAAATGAGAAGTTTCCAGCAGAGAATGTGAAGGAGCGGCCAACAAAGTCAGAAAAGGACAAGCTCTGAGCACGTTAGCCATCGCCTGACTCCATTTCCTACATGTAGACTGACTGACTGATTGATTGATTGATTTCCCCTGTTGCTTTCCTAGATAGACCACAGCAATGCTATCAGGGCTGTCCAGTGTGACTGCAGCCTGGCGCCAAGTGAAAAATGGTGGGGGATGAAGAGTATTACCCCTCCAAGTAAGAACTAGGGATTTCTTCTCTGTCCAAAAGGCAGGCAGAGAAAGGGCTGCCGCAGAATTAGGAGCGGACGCGGCACCGCCACAGCAGCTATGAGTTGGCGTCTAGGAGAGTCTCATCCTTGGTTAGCCAAGGTCAATCTGTTTCTCAGTCCTAAGCCAGTTCAGTCTAAAACAGTCTAAAATCAGAATGAGTGGCTTTTGTTATTTTTTAATTTCTTTCCCAAGAGGGAACTTCTTTTAAATTGTAAAGGTAATTCATTTTTACGTTAAATTTTTTGGTAATACAGGGTGCCCGGGTGGCTCAGTCGTTAAGCGTCTGCCTTCGGTTCAGGTCATGGTCCCAGGGTCCTGGGATCGAGCCCCACATCGGGCTCCATGCTCGGGCAGGAAGCCTGCTTCTCCCTCCCCCACTCCCCCTGCTTGTGTTCCCTCTCTCTCTGTGTCTCTCTCTGTCAAATAAATAAAAAAAATCTTAAAAAAAATTTTTTTTGGTAATACAGAAAAGTAAGTATAAAGAAAGTGAGACTCATCTCAACAAAATAAAATAGTAATACCCAGAACACGTTTTCTTAAGAACTCTACAAAGCAAAAAGAAAAAGACAATCCAATGGGGAAATAGGCAAAGAAAATAGACTGGCAGTTCACAGAAAAGGAAACCAAAATGCCTGATAAATATAAGATAAAGATAAATATAAGAAGAGATGCCCCAATCTCTCTGGCAGTCAGGGAAATGCAAATTAAAGCCATATGGGATATACTGCACCAGAATGGCTGGAATTAAAAAGGCTGACAGCTCCATGTAAAGGACGTGGAGAAACTGGAACTCCCATATGTTACTTGGTGGGATTGTAAAGTGATACAACCACTTGGGAAAACCATTTGGTAGTTTTTAATGAAGGTAGATATACACTTAACCGTATAACCCAGCCATTCCACTCCTAGGTATTTACTGAAAAGAAACAAAAACATCTGTCCACAAAAATATTTGTATGCGAATGTTCATAGATGCTTAATTCATAAAAAAACCCCACCAAAATGTGGAAAGAACCCAAATGTCCATCCACAGCTGAATGAACAAATTGTAGTATATCCACAGAATGAATATTACTCAGCAATAAAAAGGGACAAACTACTAATAAATGCAATAATGTAGATGAATCTAAAATAAATTATTCTGGGTGGCGCCTGGGTGGCTCAGTCTTTTTTTTTTTTTTTTTTTTTTTCTGGGTGGCTCAGTCTTTAAGCATTAAGACGCTCTGCGGGAAGCCTGCTTCTCCCTCTCCCACTCCCCCTGCTTGTGTTCCCTCTCTCGCTGTGTCTCTCTCTGTCAAATAAATAAATAAAATCTTAAAAAAAAACATTGATCTAAATTATCCTATAAAAAATTCTGTGGTATTTCACTGTATGGATATACCATGATTGTTTATTTAACCCATTATCCCTGATGGATATATATATGTATATATATATTGGTTATATATATTAGTTATATATATTATTATATAGTTATATAGAGAGTTATATATTATCATATAGTTATATATTATAGATATAATAGTTTCTCTTCCCCCTCCTCCTCCTCCTTCTGCTACTACTACTATTATTCTAAAAAACACAGCAACAAATATCTTTTGACATACATATTTGCACAGTAATACAGTTACTTCCTTGGGATAGATTTGCAGATGTGAAACTGTGAGTCAAGGCAAAATAGTCAACATTTTAGGGGCACCTGGGTGGCTCAGTCGGTTAAGCGTCTGCCTTCAGCTCAGGTCATGATCCCGGGGTCTTGGGATCGAGCCCCACATCCAGCTCCCTGCTCAGTGGAGAGCCTGCTTCTCCCTCTCCCTCTGCCTGCCACTCAGCCTATCTCTCTGTCAAATATATAAATATATAAATAAAATCTTTTTAAAAATTCAACATTTTGGGGCGCCTGGGGTGGCTCAGTAGGTTAAGTGTCTGCCTTCGGCTCGGGTCATGATCCCAGGGTCCTGGGATCAAGCCCCGTGTCAGGCTCCTGTCTCAGCGGGGAGCCTGCTTCTCCCTCTGCCTCTCCCCCTGCTCATGCTCTCTCTCTCTCTCTCTCTCTGTATCTCTGTGTCTCGAATGAATAAAAATAAAAAATAAAAAAATTCAACATTTTAATAAGTATGACCAAATTTCCCTCTAGAGAAGACTATCGAATAGTACTTTGTTCAGTGATGGAAATGTTCTATGTCTGCCCTGTCCGATACCCTAGCCCCAAGTGGCTACTTGAGCACTTGAAATGGGGCTAAGCATAAGAAACTGAAGTTTTATTTTTGTATTTTTCTATAATTTTTTTTAAACTAAGCTCCATGCCCACTGTGGGGCTTGAACTCACGATCCTGAGATTAAGAGTCTCATGCTCTACTGAGTGAGCCAGCCAGGTATGCCCCAAGGAACTGAAGTTTCATTTTTATTAAATTTTAATTTAAATAGCTACATGTGGTTAATGGCTGCCCCAGGTCTAGAGTGTTTGTACCATTTTTCTCTCTTACCAGTTACAAAGGAAAACACTCTTTTCCCTTCCTTGCTTAGATACTAAGCAAGGAATAGATACGGTTAATGCTTAACCCGTGTTCCAGACCGCTGCCAACAGAGTAGAGTGTGGAAGGGAGCTCCCCAAGACTCCCATACCTGCTTTTATCTGTTTATCTATTTTATTTATTTTTTATTTTTTTAAAAGATTTTATTTTAGGGCGCCTGGGTGGCTCAGTCGTTAAGCATCTGCCTTCGGCTCAGGGCATGATCCGGGGATCCGAGGGTCCTGGGATTGAGCCCCGCATCGGGCTCCCTGCTCAGCGGGAAGCCTGCTTCTCCCTCTCCCACTCCCCCTGCTTGTGTTCCCTCTCTCGCTGTATCTCTCTCTGTCAAATAAAAAATAAAATCTTTAAAAAAATAAAAAGATTTTATTTTATTTGACAGAGAGAGATACAGCGAGAGAGGGAACACAAGCAGGGGGAGTGGGAGGGGGAGAAGCAGGCTTCCTGCTGAGCAGGGAGCCCAAGGTGGGGTTCGATCCCTGGGCCCTGGGATCATGACCTGAGCCGAAGGCAGACGCTTAACGGCTAAGCCACCCAGGCGCCCTTTATCTGCTTTATTTCATTCGTTTGGCTTCCATAAATGATTTACTTCTGAAAAAGTTCTGTGGCTACAAAGTTTGAAATGTCCTAAGTTCAGGCCGTTCCAAGCTACCTCCCAGCTCTGAGAAGCCAATCTGATCAAGTGGAAATGGCAGGATGGCCAAAACACAGGAGAGCAGTACAACCTCAGTGCATCTCGATATTAGAGCAGGAACATTTAAAAGCCACGGAAAGATACAAATTGGTTATCTGTGTGTATTAAGGCCTGGGTGAAGGTGGAGAGAAGTCACCCGCGTCCTCTCTTTCAGGGTAAAGGCCCCAAAGCTGTCATCAGCATCAAGGACTTGAACGCCACCTTTGAGACAGAGAAGATAGGGAACCCCCATGGGCTGCAGATCACCTACAGGAGAGAGGGCCACGTCAGGAACCTTTTCGTGTACCACGAGAGTGGGAAGGTGAGATGACCGGTGTTGCCGTCCCGGCCCCCAGCCCACACCCCAGGACTCTGCTGGCCTGCCTTGCCAGCTGGTTCAGCTGCCGCTTGAGGTGTGCTGCCGCTGTTGGCCTCATCTCTTGTCCCTTTCCGGTGCCAGAGAGCCGTAGGAGCAACGCAGAGCGAGGTCAGGGAGAAAAACCTGACAAGCACCATGGGGTGTGCGTCTGGACAGCGCATAGCCACTACGGGGAGTCCAGTTAGCAGGAGGGGCTATGCCCAGGGGGACGAATCCAGGTAGGGCAGAGACTCTGCACGCGGGAACAGGGATGAACGGAAGATCCAGCAGCCCTGAACTCGAGGGCCCTGCTTCTCCCCACGTGGTCCTCGGAGTTAAGCAGTTAAGTGGCTGCCTTCGGCCCAGGTCATGATCCTGGGGTCTTGGGATCGAGCCCCACGTCCGGCTCCCTCAGAGCGTTAGCATCACCTCGGAGCTGGTTAGAAACACAGTCTCAGGCCCACTGGAACCTACTGAATTAGAAACTGCATTTTCACAGGAGCTCCAGGAGATCCTTAAGCACATTAAAGTTTAAGACATCAGCTCTGCCAGAGAAGAGCAGGCCAGTAGTACAGGTCCAAGAGAATAAGCTAGGTCAGAATGAGCAGTCTCCTGACTGAGCAAGGGACACAGATGCCAAGTGGAAGTGCAGAGGGGTAGAGGTGAGGGTAGACATTTTTGAGTGCCTATTAATTCTGTGCCAGGCACTGTTCTTGGTAACCACCATACATCATTTCTTTCTTTCTTTCCTTTTTTTAAGATTTTATTTATTTATTTACTTATTTGAGAGAGAGAGAGAGCACCGAGTTGGGGAGGAGCAGAGGGAGAGGGACAAGCAGACTCCCCACCGAGCGCGGAGCCCGATGCAGAGCTTGAACCCATGACCCTGAGATCATGACCTGAGCTGAAATCAAGAGGCAGACCCTTCATTGACTGAGCCACCCAGGCGCCCTGCTATATATCATTTCTTAATCCTCAAAACAGTCCTGGAGATGTTTTAACCCTATGTTACTGAGCCACAGGCATGTTAAGTAACTTGCTCAGGGTCACCCAGACTATGGTTCCTGAGTCCTACCACCATCTTACCCCACCCCCCTTTGTGCCTCTGCTGGAGGGAGAATCCTTGGTAGCAGGAGCCAGGAACCCGAGACCGGGACAAAGATTTTCCCAAGGGGCCCCAGCACTGGGATGCTGGCAGAGTCTGGGCAGAGTTCCTGGCAGTGGAGGCTATGAAGAATCGGGGTTTGGAGTCAGAAACTGGAGCCCTGGTTCTGCCACTCTGGGCTGTGTTACTGGGCCAAGTCCCTTCCCCTCCTCCATCTGCTTGTTTATGGATCAGAACACCCACTTGCCCAGAGGGGTTTAGAGGGTGAATGACCGTTAACCATGAATGTGAACGAATTTCATTACAGTGAAGTACATTTCAAACATTAATCTCTGCTAATTAGGGCACCTGGGTGGCTCAGTGGTTAAGTGCCTTCAGCTCAGGTCATGATCCTGGGGTCCTGACATTGAGCCCCATGTCGGGCTCCCTGCTGAGCAGGGGAGTCTGCTTCTCCCTCTCCCCCCTGCTCATGCTCTCTCATTATCTCTCCCTCTCAAATAAATAAATAAAATCTTTAAAACACAAAACAAAAAAACCTCTGCTAATTATTTGCTCATGATTGTAGTAGTTGTAAAGGGTAAAATCTTATGGGCAATTTCACATCTGTATCTCTCACTCAGTCTTTTTTTTAAGATTTTATTTATTTGGGAGAGAGAGAGAGCAGGGGGAGGGGCAGAGGACAAGCAGACTCCATCTGCAGAGTGTGGAGCCCGCCACGGGCTCAATCCTAGGACCCTGAGATCATGACCTGAGCTGAAGTCAGACACTTCATCAGCTGAACCACCCAGGCACCCCACTCATTCACTCTTCCAATTAGTCCTTATTGAGCCTCTGCAATGTGCAAAGTACTGCCCTGGGCTCTAGAGAGTGTGGTAGCAAATAGGGCAGAGCCATGGGTGGGCTTCAAGGATCTCACAGACTGGGGAGGGAGTAAGATGGGGAAATAGGCATCGTTGATACTGTCTGGCCCTTCTCTTTCCCTCAATGCCCCAGCTTCTCTGTTAGATAGGCATAAATGGGGGCTGCAAACTTTCATGCCTGCAGGAGCCACGTAGCTCATTTGAAAGTGAAGTGGACAAGGGGTGCCTGGGCGGCTCAGTCGGTTAAGCAACTGCTTTTGGCACGGGTCATGATCCCAGGGTCCTGGGATCAAGCCCCGCATCGGGCTCCTTGCTCAGGGGGGAGCCTGCTTCTCCCTCTGCCTGCCACTCCTCCTGTCTTTTTTTGACAAATAAATAATTTAAAAAATAAATTAAAAAATAAAAATAAATCCATAAAAATCACTCTGGGGAAAAAAAAATCACTCCGGCTGCTGTGGGAGGACCCTTTGCAGAGGAGCGGAGCCACAGCAGAGCCAGCTGGACAAGTGGTTCACCAGGGATAACGGTGGCCCACACTGCCGAGGATGCACTCCCCCCAGAAGGACACAAGCCAGTCCAAGCCAGCTTTGGGCCAAGTTGCACTCCAGGTGATGAGCATCCACATTGGAGGAGGATCCGCAGGTGCACCTGCCCGCACTCGAGAGCCAGTCTTTGACATCTGAAGACCCTTGCTCCTCCAGTTGTGTCCCACTGACCAGCAACTCATCACCAGAGAGCTTGTTAGGAATGCAGGATCTCAGGCCCCACCTACCTCAAACCCACTGGATCCAAATCTGCATTTTAAAAAAGAGATGCTCAGGTGATTCTTACACACTTTGGAAAGGGCCAAGCAAGGCCCAAGGCCATTACCTAACTCTAGTGCAATTCACCTTGGTCTTTTCCCCATGGCTCTGGACATCTGTCAGTGGCTTCCCACCTGCTCTGGCATCGTCCTCACAGATACCTGTGATCAGTGCACAGGCCCCTGAGCCGAACTGGGATGGGGGGGATGTGCATGTGCTGAACCTGAAGACCCAGCTAGCTTCCTGCCACCAAACTCAGCTCCCCCACTACTCCATCTCACAGGCTGTTTGTTCTCTTTTTTCTCCACAGGAGATAGTGGACTGGTTCAATGCCCTCCGTGCTGCCCGTCTGCAATACCTAAAAACAGCCTTTCCTGAGCTCCCAGAGTGTGAGGTGAGCTAAACGTGGACCCCAACTTCTTCTTCTTCTTTTTTAAGATTTTATTTATTTGAGAGAGAGAGAGAGCGTGAGCGGGGGGGTGGGGGGAGAGAGAGAAGCAGACTCCCCGCTGAGTGCGGAGCCTGATGCTGCGGGACTTGATCTAATGACCCTGAAATCATGACCTGAGCAGAAACCAAGAATCGGATGCTGAACCGACTGAGCCACCCAGGTGCCCCATGGACCCCAACTTCTGAGTCTCCTCCCTGCCATCCCCTCTCTTTGTCTGCTGACCTCAAAAATACTCAGAGGCCAGACTAGCTTTGTTTGTGGACAAGACCTTGAGATTTGGGGTTGGATACCTCAGAGGGAAACCAAAGGCTTTCTTCAGGGGATTATGGCCTCACACATGGCAAGGCAATCTCCAAAATATAGGTCAGACTGTCCCCTTTGGGATGCATAGCCACCATCCCCAGTGTCAAGGGGCTCAGGATTTGGACATCTCTTTTTTGGGGGGGTATCTCTTTCTGACCCCTTTTCCCACTGAAATGTGCAGATGATCCCTAATGTACTGTTTACAAAGTGCTTTTGAGCCCATTTTATCTTGTATTCCCTGTTATCTAGTAATCCCTTGTAGTAGACAGTTAGGCAGAGTGATTATTCCCATTTTACTGATGAGAAACTGAATCCCCAGAAGGTCAAGTGAATACTCAAGGGTGCTCTTCCCACTCTGATGTCCTCCCTTTGCCCTTTTGTGTCCTGGTCTTGGGAAGGCAATGGGATCTTCTCCATTACAATTCTAACAGGAGCAGTCTGCCTTCTGTGGCCAAGGTAATGGTGATCCTGAGAACTTCATTATGGTCGTCCTCAGACTTGTGGGGCGCCCATCTACATCTCTCAGGTGTGTGGGGCAGAGGCTGCTGCCTTGAGCCAGGAGGCTCGGGCTCTCACGATGCTCTGTCGCTAACTCACTGACCGCTGCGGGTCTCATCACTTCCCAGAGCATCTGTTTCCACATCTGTAAGATGGTGATTGGGTCATCTTCAGGGTCCCTTCCAGCTCCGAGGTGCTATGGTCTGGGGTCTGCTCTCCACCCTGCTCTAGGAGGATTTTGTAAATGATGGGGGCAGAGACACCCTATTCATCCCAGGACTTTCTTATTCCAAACCGTTAGACCCTCCTTGAATGCCTAAATGCTCCTAAATTCCAAGGTTTGCAGGGAGCTAAGTTTTGGGAACAGGCGTCCGCTCCAGGCCTGGCAGTGCATGGAGTTGGCAACTCTCTGGGAGCGACTCCAGCCAGGCCTGTGTCAGGACCCTCCTGGTCTGCCGAGTCAGCACCCAGCAGGAGCGAATGCACGGTCTGTGGGCAGGGCGCTGTGTGTGCTGAGTGCGGACTGGAGGGGTCACAGGACAGACTCCCAGCCTTAGTCATCCGGGCTAGCTCTCCAACTTTGCTGACCTCTGCAGAGGACATTGGTCTTTGGCCAACTCCCCAGTGTCTTCTTGCCTCCTCTCCTCCCCACTCCCGTGTCTCTGCTGCCTTTCCTCCCCCTGTGGCTAGGGATGGCCTGAGGTTCTGGGCAGCCACCTGGACCTGGCTCAAGCTTAGGGATCCAGAGGCTAGACACCTGGGGAGTTCCAGTGGGGCGGGGCGGGGGGAGTCCCAGACTAAGAAAGGGGTGGCCTCGGAAGTCAGAGAAGCTGATGTGTTACCTGGGGCACGTCACCTCACTGCTCCCAGCCTTGGTTCGCTCATCTGTCATTGTGGGGACAACACCCCCTCTCCAGGGCTGCCGTGAGACTCGAGTGAGCCTCGGCTTCTAGGACTCGGTCAGTGCGCAGCGCTCCATCCGTGTGCTCTTCCTTCTTCCAGTTGCTTCCCTAGGCCGAGACTAGCATGGCCCTGGGTCGGGTTCAGATTCTTGCACAGTTCAGGAGTCTTCCTTCCAAATGAAGGAATTAAGGCCTATAGAATGTATTTTGGGGCCAGGGGAGTGGTCGCGTTTATATTTTCATTTTCAGCCCACAGTTTTCTTCCTTCTGACTTCCCAGACTTCACTTCCCCTTTTCCCCTGCCCTGGGCCCAATGAAGATAATAATGTCCACCTCACAGGGTGGGTGAGAACTGCACCCAGAGCTTGACACACGTAGACCCTCAGAATATGCCCCCTGACGCCAGGAGGGTTTCCTCAGAGCCTTGCCTCTGTCTACCTCCTGGGGTTGCTGAAGGAATCCTCAGACTAACTCCTTAAGCCACGATTGGGCTCTGCTGGTGAGCTCCGCAAACATCTGAGATGCTGTCGTCTGACTGTTGAAATGTTAATATTGCATCCAATACCACATTCCAAATATAACCCTGTGAACCATGAGCACACATCCTTCCCCATTCCAAACTTCCCCTATGTTGGGGAGCCAAGTTCAGTGGGGGACCTTGAACCCTTGGCGTGTAAGTCAGGGGGTCAGTGTTATGTCTCCCTTCCCCCAGCTCGTGCCCCTCCTCACCAGGAAGTACCTCAAACAAGGCTTCATGGAAAAGACTGGTCCAAAGGTACGTTCCACCACTCTCTGTGGGACTTACACGGCCCTGGTTCCAGTGGGCAATAGGGCAGAATTTGGGAAGTGGGAAAGTGGGGAGCCAGACGGTGGGAAGAGGGAGGGAAGGGAAGGTAACCCAATGTTTGTGAGTTCCTGGGGCAAAAGACCAAGTGGAGACTGGTGAGCTGGTGTGTGGTCCACGATGGCTACAGGTGCTTCTGATCTGTGGGCATCCTCCTTCTTTATCGACATCACAAGCACCTTCTTTCCTCCTTTTTTTTTTTTTTTAAAGATTTTATTTATTTGTTTGAGAGACAGTGAGTGAGCAGAGGGGAGAGGCGGGATAGAGGGAGAGGGAGAGGCACATTCCCCCGCTGAGCAGGGAGCCCGTGCAGCTCGATCCCAGGACCCTGAGATCATGACCTGATCCAAAGGCAGACGCTTAACTGACTGAGCCACGCAGGAGCCCCAGCTTCCTTCCTCTTTCTTCCTCTTAACTCCGTCTAACTGACCCCACTCCTGGGAAAACATAGCTGAAAAGGGACTCTTTGGGGCGACAGCTTTTGCCCTTTCCAGAACCCGTGTGTGCTTTGTGCTGGGGGCCTACCAGGACTGTCCAAGTGAGACAGGGGCTAGTGACTGGTCCGAGAACACACACCTAGGCCCACACATGGGCTCATCCCTCCCCAGCACACACACCCTCCCTCCAACTTAGCCTCTGCCCTCCTTTGCTAAACCTGCCCCAACTCCCAGTGCTGCTCATTCCCACTTACCTATAGGAAGGAAGGGAAGGCTGGCTGCTCTTGGGCATCCCCTGGAGGGTCCGCAGGGGTGACAGCTCCTGCTGTGAGAGCATCTGGGGGCGGTGGGGGGGGGTGCCCAGCCTGGATGCCGAGAGGGGCGCAGCTCCAAGTCAGAAGTCTGGCTGGAGAGGGGAGGAAGGGGGGAAGGGAGGACAAGAAGGGAAAGCAGAGGGAACCTCCTAAAAAAACTCCCAAAGCAGCTGCAATCCAATGCTTGCTTTTTCTTTTTTTTAAGGTGTCATATCTTGACAGCATGGATGTTAAGACTGCAGGGAAAGGTGTTAGGCAATCAGTGTGAAAGAAAGCCTCTGGGCAGCTCAAAAACAAGTCAAAGCATTGCACATTTTGTTTTCTGCCTTCACCCGCTGATGGCACAGTGATTCCCCAAGGGTTCCCGCCAGGGGCTTTCTTTCCCCTGACCTCGGCTAGAATTCCACCCAGGCCAGCGCTGTCAGCACCGCTGAGCCGTCACTGCTTCTGACTTTCCCCCACTTCCTTTTTCTGAGACTTCTTGTCTGTAGCCCTTCTTCCTACCCACAGCAGCACCCAGAAGCACAGGGTGCATCCAGCGGCGGGGGGGAGGAGGGGGGGAGGTGGGCAGAGCCTCCGGGAGGAGCGCTGGGGTGGCTGTCGGCTAAGGGACTGGCCAGCTCTCTGACCTCTGTGCTCCCCCACTTGGCTGGCCCTGGTTTGAGCTTCCCTCTTTTGCAGCAGAGAGAACCTTTCAAAAAAAGGTGGTTTGCCCTGGATCCCCAGGAGCGGAGGCTGCTCTATTACAAGAACCCACTGGTAAGAGCCACCGCCGGCCCCTTTTCAGTACACCCGCAGACAGAGGTGGGGTCCGGCTAGCCAGGGACCGTGGGGAAGCGGCAGTGCGGGAGAAACCTGGTGAGGAACACACCTCCACTTTTGCTCGTCTCTGTCATCTCCTGTGCACAGGACTTCCTCTGTGTATCCAAAATGCTGTCAGTGTAGTTAAACATTGTAAAACATTGTAACACTTATATTTTACAATGTAAACATTGTAAAAATGTAGTTCTTCCTCTTCCCATCTCCAGGGCTCACTTCTCACCGGGAGGCTAGTGGTTAGGACTGTGGGCTTTAGAACTTTCAGTCCTGCCACTTAGTGGTATGCCTTGGGCAGAGCACTTAGCTCTCTGTGCCTCAGTTTCCTCCTCTGGAAAATAGGCTTAATAACAGTGCCTTCCTCAGAGGTTGCCATGAGGATTATATAAGTTACTTAAGGTCAAGAACTTGAATTCTTGGTGCATAGCAAGCTGCCCATAATGTTAAGTAAGTATCATTTTAACAGATCACGTGTGTGATTTCTTTTATGGTTTTGTAGCCTTTCAAATTCCAGGTCCCACCAAGCAGAGATCCCCAGCAGAGACCCTCACTACACACATGAAACACCTCTTCCTAAAATAGAGCTTGGGGGATGTCTGGGCTGCAGGTGCCTGTCTGCCCCAGGTGTGGCCTCTGATGACCAAGTGTCCTCTATCTTCAGGATGCCTTTGAACAGGGCCAGGTTTTTCTTGGGAGCAACGAGCAGGGGTACGGAGTCTATGAGGACCTGCCCAAGGGTATCCGAGGGAACCGCTGGAAAGCCGGCCTCACGATTGTCACCCCTGAGCGGAGATTCATCTTCACCTGCCCCAGCGAGAAGGAGCAGCGGGAATGGCTGGAGAGTTTTCAGGATGTCCTCTCCCGCCCCTTGACGCCCTTCAACCTCCTCAGTAAGATGCACAGCCTGAGCTTTGTTCTTTCGGCCAAGGGCAGAAGGCAGAACAGGGGCCTCACAGGGTTCAGCCCTGAAGCCGGGGTCATGGCTCCCCACTGTGCTTTTAACATTTTCTTCTCTTCCTGTCAAAGAAAAGTACAGATGGTGCACATTGTCGCCAGGAAGCCCTCTCTGTCCACATACAGTTCTTCTGTGGGGAGCTCTACCCCATGAGCTACCCGCCCCCCACCAGTCCCCCTCGGCGTGAGAAACCCTGGCCTGTTATTATTAGCTACGGTCACACCCGCTGGGCAACCCCTGGGGTCTTGGGTTGCTCTCCACTCACAGAGGGAAGGCTATTTTTGGTGCCCTTCTTTTCTCTGTGTCGTCCCTTCTGTCTGCTTCTCTCCTCCTCCCCTTCGCCCCAGATGTGTGACAAGTAGGTTTCTGTCTGCTGACAACCCTGTGAAAAATGGGAAGACATTCAGAGCCGGAGCAGGAAACTTCTGGCCTGGGGCCTGGTTTGGGGGCACCAGGAAGAAGTTCTGTGTTTGGAAAAGGACAGACGGAGGAGATGACCCCACATGGCCCCTTAGGAGAAGCCCTTGTGCCCTTTGAGTCAGACCAGTATAAACCCACCTGCTTTTCACTTTCCAAAATCTTAAAGCCGAAGAGCCTGAGAAACAGACTTGGAAGTTGCTCGTGAAGCCCAGCAGCTGGTGCTTTTTTGTCCCTGCAGGCCTGCGTGTCTGACTCTGTTTCTGTGTCTCTCACTCTCTACTCTGGGGTGTGTCCCCTCTGTCTCTTGCCCCGTCGGTTGGTTTTTTAATTCTGGTTCTCTGTCATTGTGCCCCTGTCCCCTTGCTGTCATTTCTTTCCAGTAGGACTACACTGGCACGGTTATCACCTCAGCTCTCTTCTTGCTCCCCTGGCAGCCGCATCATCGGAGACTGGCCACAGCAGCAGGTGACCCCCTGGCTGAGGAGCTGGCCACTGGTCACGTGGAGCTCGTGGTAGGAAGGACAAGTTCTCACCTCGGCCTTGGTTGTCCTGCAGCAGTGCCCCGCCGTCAGCAGCCATGGCTGGCCATGACTTCTGCCAAGACTGAAGGTTTGGCCTTTCCCTGCTGGCTCCCTGGGCCTTCCCACTGTCCAGCCCTGGCGGAGGGGGGGGCGGGGAGGTCTTGGGGATCTAGCCCATGACCTCAAGGCCCCGGACTTCTGAATTGAAGACACTCCAACAGAGAGCCACCCACTGTGTCATGCGAGTGGCATGTTTGCTCAAAGAGAAAAAAAGTTGATTCTGGATCTAACCATGAGGAAGCAATCAGACAAACCCACGTGAGGGAAATTCTATAAAATGGCTGGACTGGACTCTTCAAAAGTGTCAGTATCATGAAAGATAAAGTAGTGAGGAAACTGTTCTACGTTAAAGAAGGCGAAGGAGGCAACAAAATGCAGTTCATGATTCTTAACTGGATCCTGGATTTTTATGTTTGTTTTTTTTTAAGATTTTAATTTTTAAGTAATCTCTACACCCAATGTGGGGCTCAAACTCACGACCCTGAGATCAAGAGTCACACGCTTCACTGACTGAGCCAGCCAGGCGCCCCCCTGGATCCTGGATTTATTAAAAAGCAGCTAAAAATGACATAATTGACATAACTGGGGAAGTTTGAATATGGATGTATATTAGCTAATCATGTTGTGAGACTGATAACTATGTTGTATTTGTGTAGAAGATTGCTCATTGTTCTTGGTGGGTACATGCTAAAGTGTTCAAGGGTAAAACATAATAATTTTTAGTCTACAGCTGACTCTTAAATGGGTCAACAAAGAATAAGTGTATGTGTACATGTATAGTGTGTGTGTGTGTGTGTATAGAAGACAGGAAGTGTGTATACACACACACACACAGGGAGAGAGAGAGAAAAAGCGAGCCACTAGCAAAATGTTAGCGACTGAAGAATCTAGACAAAGTATAGATGGGTCTTTGTTGTCCTATTGGTGCAAATTTTCTAAAGATTCAAAAGTGTTCAAATTAAACACTTGGAAGCTGGAGGAAATTTTTAAAGAAACACCCACTCCCACTCTTCAAAAGCAGTGTGTTCTCTACATGAATCAAAACAGTTCTTGGGAAAGTCTCGTCTTTGTGCACATTTTAGAAGTGAAAACCCAGAGAATACAAACAAAACAAAACAAAACAAAACAAAACCCGCCAAAAACACAAAAACCAATGTCCCAGTTGATTACCGTCCTACTGGGAAGCAAAGAAGCAAGCCAAGGAGGCAGCTCCCCTGGACCCCAGGGCAGAGAGTTCTCTAGTCTGCGAGCCAGCTCTGGCCTTTGCCACTAACTTGAAATGGTCAGAAACCTCATTCTCCCACCCATGTGCCTTGGTCTTCCTCTTTCAGATGAGGAAGGTGTACTAACTATTGAAATTCCATGGAAGCGACAAGTATTTTTGAGCCTCTCCCAGGTGCCAGGCTCTGTGCCAAGCCCTGGAAATAGGGCAGGAACCAGATGGTCCCTGCTTTCACAGATGACAGACCGCAGCAAGGCAACCCTTACACGGGGTGGGACGATGCCATGAGTGTTCAGAAAGGGAAGTACAGACCTCTGTGGGAGCCTGCAACATAGGGGTTCCCCTGAGGGGGAGAGGGGGGCCTCCAAACCCTCCAGAAAGTGATGTTGAAGTTGAAACCTTAAAGATATTTGGAGGTTAGTCAACAGAAAGAGGGTGAGGAAAACACTCGTCTGAGGGCAGAAATTGTTCAAAGTCCCTTAGATGAGAAAGAGGAACTGAAAGAAATCTGGAATGGCTGAAGTGTTAGAGAAATAGATCAGCGAGGTCCCTGCTCTATGACTCTTTGTCCTTCAAGTCACGTGCAGAACGACGTGGACCGAGAGGGTGGAGACCGAGAGGGTCGGGAGGGTGTTTAACAGAGTCTCTGCTTTTTATGGGGTTTTCCTACGGATCACCCAGAGGACAAACAGCATCACTGGAGTGTCTTTGTGGAGGCTTCCTGACAGCCCTGATGGAGAAGGGGGTGCTTCCTCTTCTAGCCCCTGAAGCACCTTGAAAACGTCTCTTTTGGGGCGCCTGGGTGGCTCAGATGGTTAAGCGTCTGCCTTCGGCTAGGGTCGTGATCCCAGGGTCCTGGGATCGAGTCCCACGTCAGGCTCCCTGCTCCTTGGGAGCCTGCTTCTCCCTCTGCCTCTCTCTCTCTCTCTGTCTTACATGAATAAATAAATAAAATCTTTAAAAAAAAAAAAAAAAGAAAATGTCTCTTTTGGCACCTGCTGGGTTGTGTATTAAGGGTCAGTGTGCTCATCTGCCTTTTTCACTCCCTGTGAGCTCAGTCTAGAGAGAAAGAAGTAAATAGGCAGTCACAAAGCTACTTGGCATTAAGAAGCAAAGTCCATGATCAGATTTGAAACTTAGGAAAACAAAGTGTGGGAAGGAGGCGGGGAGACCAACTGGGAGGCCACTGCATAAATCACAAGCCCCAAAGTGTCATTGTGGGCCTGTGTCTGAGACAGCACACCAGCTCTCCTTCCCACCCCTTCTTTCTTAAACATCCTTCTTCTGTTCAGAAAAGCAAGCCATCCCTCTTACCCACCTTAAACCTTACATTGCTCCAAAGCAATAAAAATCACTGGGATGCCAAATAAAGAGATAGTTTGAAATAGGAGTGACAAGCCTCCTTTTTAAATTTTATTTTTTACATTGTTCTATACTAAAATTGACTTTTGTACTGTTTTATAAATTTTAATACATGTATGGATTCCTGTAACTACCACCACAATCAGAATAAAGAATGGTTACATCGCCTCAAACACTCCCGGGTGCTACCTCTCCATGGCCACACCCTTCCCCTGCCACCTGCCAACCACAACTCTGTCCTTCATCAGCCCAGATTTATATTTTTGATGATGTCCTATGAATGGAATCATTCAATATGTAATTTTTGAAATTGGCTTCTTTCAGTATAATGTCTTCGAGATTCATCCAAGTCATTGCATGTATCAACAATTATTATTGCTGAGTCGTAGTGCATTGTATGGATGTGCCATGGTTTGTTTATCCCATGGAATAGTACTCAGCAATAAATATGAATGAATTATTGGTACACGCAACAATATCCAGGAGTGGAGCGGCTGGGTCATTTGGTAGGTGTATGTTTAACTTTATAACAACCTGTCAAGCTGTCTGCCAGAGTGGCTGGACCCTTTCACGTTCCCACTGGCAATGTCCAGGCACTCTGCCCAGAAGTCCCGTGCCCTACCCATGATGGCACCGAGCCAGGCAGAGAATTCCAGTTACCCTACATCTTCACCAGCGCTTGACATTGTCAGTATTCTTAATTTTAACAGTTCTAGTAGATGTGTAGTGGTATCCTGGTGGTTTTCATTTGCATTTCTCCAGTGGCTGGTGATGCTGAACATCTTTTCCTATGCTTATCTGCCAACCTTGTATCTTTGGAGAAGTGACTTTGTCCATGTCTCATTTTCTTTTTTTTTTTTTTTAAAGATTTTATTTATTTATTTGACAGAGAGAGAGACAGGGAGAGAGGGAACACAAGCAGGGGGAGTGGGAGAGGGAGAAGCAGGCTTCCCGCTGAGCAGGGAGCCCGATGTGGGACTCGATCCCAGGACCCTGGGATCATGACCTGAGCCGAAGGCAGCCGCTTAACAACTGAGCCACCCAGGTGCCCCTATTTACTGTTTAAACAAAGATTTTATTTATTCATTTGAGAGAGAGACAGAACACAAGCAGGGAGAGGGGCAGAGGGAGAGGGAGAAGCAGACTTGCCACTGAGCAGGGAGTCTAACATGGGGCTCGATCCCAGGACCCTGGGATCATGACCTGAGCCAAAGTTAGACACTTAACTGACTGAGATACCCAGATGCCCCTCATTTTTTAATTGTGTGGGTTCTTTTCTTTATTGTTGAGTTTTGAGAGTTCTTTATACATTCTGGATATCAGTCCTTTGACAGACATGGGATGTGCAAATATTTCCCCCCAATCTGTAGCTTTTTATTCTCTTAACAGTGCCAGTGAAGTCTTCTTAACCCTGAGGTCAGGGTTTATGACTTCCTTTGTTTTTTGCAGATTTTTGTTGGTGACAAAGTTTGGCATTAAAAATGGTGTGTTTGGGCTTATGTTTGGATGTTTTGAATTCATATAAAGTGGAGTGGAAATAAGGACGATGTTCATTTAATGACTTCTCCTGCCCCTGACTGGAAGGAATCCAGTAAGAGCAAAGCAAGACACTTGTAGATGTTAATGATGGTCGTCGTACCTTATTTCATCCAGTGCACAAATTCAGGATCTTGTCCTTTCCCACCTAAGTTAACATTAGAACCAGTGTCACAGGGATGTGTATTAACACGTCTATTTTGTGTGTGTTTAAGATTTTATTTATTTTAGAGACAGCGCACATGGGCTGGGGGGTGGTGGGCCGAGGCAGAGGGAGGGAGGAAATTTCAAGCAGACTCCCCGTTGAGCACGGAGTCTGACTCATGTCGGAGCCCGACTCACCTGAGTTGGACGCTTAACCAACTGAGCCACCCAGTCACCCCTTAACACATCTATTTGAATTTAACAATGATGTCAGATTCTCTGACAGAAAATGGATCTGACTTGCCTGACTGGTTTGACTTGAGAACTGACCTTGCCACTTAGGTTATGTGGCAAGTATTTTGCATAAATCGGATAAGCTAAATCTGCAGCTCCCAAATTTTAAAGAAAATATATTTCAAGCCTAGAAAAGTATCTTTCCAAAAAATATCAGATTGATAACGGTGTATTTAAATGAATAATATTCTAATTTTTCTAGCCCTTTTTGAGTATAACAGGTTTAACAAAGTGACTCATAAAAGAGTGGTTTAATTGATAGTAATTTGGTAAGGCTTGGCAAAGTCTTGTTAGCATACCCCTCAGAAAATGAGAAAGAGAATACTTCTTTTTTCTTTAAGTTTTTATTTATTTAATCTCTACACCCAACATGGGGCTCAGACTCATGACCCCAAGATCAAGAGTCGCTTGCTCTTCCAACTGAGCCAGCCAGGCATGAGAAAGTGAATACTTCTAATGATTTTTGAAATACAGGTAGTTTCAAATTCTTTGTACTCAATAAAAAC